TTTCTAAGGGAGCAGGAGTGAGGATGAGGGGATACCCTGAGTCCCTCACCTTCGCCTCCCTCTTCATGTCTCAGATCAAGACCAGCCCTGTGCCTTCTCCCCAGGCTGGACCAGGGGCACAGTTGACTCTGGGGAAGGTGAAGTCCTGTTGGCCTTTCTCCAGTTGGAAACAGCAGACACAGGGAGATTGAGTGAGGACAGGCATGGAGAAGAGGAAAGAAGGATCAGCTGCTCAGAGAAGAAGAGAAGCAAGATGAAAGAGAAGGGGAAGGAAGAGAAGGAATGAAAGAACAATCAACAGACATTGAAAGAAAAACAGACATATATAGTCCTACATTTCCCAGTGAGATCTCATTCATCTTGTGGATGTCTATGAACCTTAAGCAATTTATACATGCAGCTGGACACAAAGCCTTAAGAGAACAAAATTAGGGGTTGTCTCAGCCATATTGTCCAATAAAATCAGAAATAATGAAAAATGTGACCATAATCATGACCAGAAAATTAAGAAACAGGCTAGTAGATATTCCATACACCTATTGCCATTGAGTTGATTCCAACTCATAGTGACCCTATAGGACAGAGTAGGACTGCCCCATAGGGTTTCCAATGCTATAAATCTTTACGGAAGCAGCCACATCTTTCTCTCATGGAGTGGCTAGTGGGTTTGAACTGCTGACCTTTTGGTTAGCAGCTGAGTGCTTAACCACTGTGTCACCAGGGCTGCTTGATAGTCCACATATCAAATAAGAAATCAAAAGTGAAATTACCAATTATCTGGGAGAAAATGAAAACTTAACATTTCACACCGAACATCAGAGACTTACATATCTGTACTCAGAGTAAATAGTCTCGCCTCAAATGCCCTCATCATTAAAGGGGAACTTTGAAAAATAAAATAATCTATTCCTTACCGTGGAATTTAGAAAATAATGACCATGAAAATAAACTTGGAAGAAAGAACCAGTTGAGACAAAAAATGAAATAAAATAGGAGAAAGAAAAAAAAATGTATACTGTTACTTTGAATAAAAACTAGGTAAATGCCTTGAATGCTTGGTTAAGAAAAAGGAACAAGAGGAAAAATATACGTTATTGTGCATGAGAAAATTTCAGTCACTTGAGATACCAGTACCAATCGCCATCAAGTCAGTTCTGACTCATGGTGACTCCATGAGTATCAAAGTAGAATTGTACTACATAGGGTTGTCAATGGCTGGTTTTTTTGGAAATCGATCACCAGGTCTTTTTTCTAAGGCACATCTGGGTGGATTCGGACCTGCCTAACCTTTTGGTTGGCAGCCGAGCATGTTAACCATTTGTACCACCCAGGGCCTACAGAGGATGTTGAAAGAATAAGAGAATACTAGATGTAATTATAAAAAAAAGAGTTAAAACCTAGAGGTCTGGAGAAATTAGACATGGAAAGGGGGAAGAGAAGGGGAGGGACTGAAAGAGAGAGGAGAAACAGGAGCGTGGGGAGAAACTGGGAGATAGGAGAGAAGTTGGGAGAGACCGGAAGAGGCAGGATGAGACTCTTCACACCTGGGAGAGAGGAGAAAGTGGCGGAGAGAGAAAAGAAAAATGGGAGAGGTGAGAAGAATCAAGAAATGTGGGGAAGAATGGGTGAAAGGGTAAGGCAGGGAGAGACAAAGAGACGTATGGACAGACCAGAAGACAGAGGGCTGAGGGGGTCAGGACACTGGGAGTGATCTGGAGAGGCAGGGAGAGGCCAGGATTACTGACCCAGATGTCTTTAACAAGGTAAATGAATAAACAAACAGCAGTACATCCATACAGTGGAAATCCCACTCAGCAAGGGAAAAGAAGGAACTATCGATACACACAAATGCATTATGCTAAGGAAAGGAAGTGAGTCATAAAGTTCACAGAACTTTTTACGCTGAAAGGATGAATTTTGCTGCATGTAAACGCGACCTCAATAAACCTGACTAACAAAAAGGTATTAAGTGTGGCCTTCCACATTAGAATTTTTTTTACTTGACCCTAGCTATCTCTTGGCAAAAAAAAAAGAAATAATGTCAAGATCCCAATATAAAGAGTAAATTAAGAATGAACTCCCAAATATCCCCCCCCAAAATAAAATTCTGAGAGAAAAATATCTATTAACCTCGAACTCTTTACCCGCTGAGAATACTTTTCAAAATGAAGGCAAAATAAGTACACACAGGCACGAAAGTTGAAATTGTTGGTAATTTCTACAAGATCTTTAAGGCGAAGGGAAATGTCAGATAGGAGCCCAGATCTGCAGGAAGAAGTGAAGACTACTGGAAAGGTAAATATGCAGGTAAATATAAAAGATCATTTAATTTTTTTTAATTAAAATACCAATGTCTCAGTGAAATGAATGTCCTCTGGGTCCTCCTACTAGACACAGGATGGGCCTGGTTTCAATATGACAAATTACGCCTACGCCCATGTATGTCATTATTGTTGTTAGTTGCTCAAGCGTCAATGCCAACTCATCCATGCCACGTGTGCAGAGTAGAACTGCTCCGTAGGGTTTTCAAGGTTATGGCCTTTCAGAAGCAGACCACCAGGCCTGTATTCTGAGGTGCCTCTGGGTAGGTTTGAACCACCAGCCTTCCAGCTAGTAGTTGAGCACTTAACCATTTGCACCACACAGGGACTCTGCCCGTGTATAGATAGCTACATTTAATAGGTTCTACCTTCTAGCTTTTGTGAGATGAATGTGCCCATTAGAAGGAGAAGCTGACTGCCATTCCAAAGAGAGGAACGAGTGAGGTTTTGCCAAGGGGAGGATTAGCCTTGGGCCTTGAATGGAAAGGAATTTCCCACACAGAGCTGAAAGGGACAAAATGCTATGCCTGCTCACCATGCAATGGTCTGCCTGTAACAAACAACGACCAGGCTCATCTGTATAAAGGCCTCCAGTTCAGATCTTCTCTCAGTTCTGTCTATTCAACAGCCCAAAGGCTTATCTAGCAGAATGACGACGGGCAGCTGCACGTTGAGCAAGTAAGACTCCAATCCTGGTCACTCAAGACTGCTCATAGTCTCCCCTCTTGCAAGCTCAATCTTACCCCTCTTCCTCACACTCGCTACCCAGATCCAGAGTCAGATCGCCATGTGTACCCTCCTGTCTACCCAGAGAGCATGTCTTCATCTCTCTCTAGTCACTCCCCCCAGAAAACATGGATAACCAACGTAAAGCTCCACTCCCCTCAAGGACATGCCTGCCTTCTCTCTCCTATCAGGGGTACACCCTCCTGGGCTCAGCTCCTGAGGCGCTGGCCTCCTCCCCTCAAAACAAACAAACAAACAGCTTCAACCCTCTCCTCAATCTTAGCCAGACCAAACTCAACTTCAGAGCTTCTCACTTGCCTTCCCAGAGATTGTTCCCCTCAGCCCCATCTTCACTGTCCTTACTCCCCGACGGTGTGGGACTGAGGCATGTTCAAACGGGTCCTGCCTGAAAAGGACTCTGGGATTGAGCAAGAGTGACTGACCAGACAGAAATTCTGCCCCATAGTTAGACAAGGACGTTAACCAGACTCTTCTCTCTTTTCTCTGCCGCTTGAAGTTAACAGCTACTGATTAACTGCATTGAAGAGCAAATCCAACCATCAATTAGCAAAGCAAACTCCCTAGGACTCCCCAGGACCATTTCCCCGGCAGTTTCCAGAATTCACTTTCCCCTCCCTTCCCCTTGCCCAGAATCACATTCCTTTCCCACCCCCGTGTAATTCACCCACTCTTTGACCATGTGTTACAGCAAAGCACACCACCTCCATGTGCCCATAATATGACCTAGGTAATTGTCAACGCTTCGCAGTGGATTCACCATGGGATCCAGCTGTCCTCTGTTTTAAGTTTCTCCTTACTAAAAGCCTTTAGTCCGAACAGCCTGGCTTTTACTGCCTCTTTTTTCAGAATCCGAACCAATCTTTTCCAAGAGCATTTTGGGGCTTTACCCCCCCACCCCGTGACACTGGCCTCCACCCTTGGTGTTACCCCCACTGCTGTCAGTATCCTCACCCTACTGTGAGCAGGTTCAGGTATAACCACAGGTATTATCATATGAATGAGTCAAAGATGGCGTCTGTGTATTGGCCCCAAATAGTTTACTTCTTCATAGCAAACTGAGGCCCATGAGCCAACGCCCCGCCCCATAAAAAAAAGCCCTCCAGTGCCAAACTCAGATTTATACATGTCCAACCCTGGTGGCACAATGGTTAAGAGCTACGGCTGCTAACCAAAAGGTCGGCAGTGGGAATCCACCAGGCGCTCCTTGGAAACCCTATGGGACAGTTCTACTCTGTCCGATAGGGTCACTGTGAGTTGGAACGGACTCCACGACAGTGTTTACTATTATTATTATTAATTGTTTAAAAAATAGCCCAAATAGCAGATGCGTATTCACTTAGAGCCTGCCTGCTGTACATACTCTAAAACTGCCCCCAACATCTGCCAGCCATAGTTAAGATAAAACCCTATAGTTATAATGACCCCCAGGTCCTGCTGTCCTTTGGCGTTCTCTGACCAAGAGACTCCCCAACCTGCTGCAGAAAGAATCACCTAGGTGTCCATGACCCCCACCCACCCACCACGCACCTTTCCCTGGGAGTTTCCTTGCTGTCTCCACCTTCTAGAGTAGCCCTGGTGGCGTAGTGGTTAAAGCTCTCGGCTGCTAACCAAAATGTTGGCACCGCGAACGCACCAGCTGCTCTGAGGCAGAAAGGTGTGGCAGTCTGCTTCCGTAATGATTACAGCCTTGGAAACCCTATGGGGCGGTTCTACTCTGTCCTATAGGGTCGCTATGAGTCAGAATCGGCTTGACAGCAGTGGGTTTGGTTTCGTGGGTTTTAGATCTGAGCAGCAGGTACAGGTGGAATCACAGATGAGGACAGCTAGGATGGGAAGAGGGAAAGGAGGCATCTTTAGGAAGGGACCATAGTATGGGTGCTGTCTTGCTTCCCTGGGACCAACACAAACTCTGTCTGCCAAACGCCCTCACAGGTGTGGGGACCAGATCTATAACCCCTTGGAGCAGTGCTATGATGAGGAGACCACCCTGCCCCTGAACTGGACCTTCCCCTGTGGCCCCAGCTGCACCTTCTGGCCCTGCTTTGAGCTCTGATGTCCTGAGTCTTTTGGCCCCCAGAGGATGTATGTTGTGAGGTTGAAGGTTCAGGGCATGACATCCTGGTGCCCCTCTGTTACAGATTGAATTGTGTCCCCCCAAAATGTGTGTCAACTTGGCTAGGCCATGATTCCCAGTATTGTGTGATTGTCCACCATTTTGTCATCTGATATGATATTCCTGTGTGTTGTAAATCCTGCCTCTGTGATGTTAATAAGGCAGGATTAGAGGCAATTATGTTAAGGAGGCAGAACTCAATCTACAAGATTAGGTTTTGTCTTAAGTCAATCTCTTTTGAGATATAAGAGAACCGAGCAGAGAGACATGGGGACCTCATACCACCAAGAACCAAGAGCCAGGAAAATAACGCATCCTTTGGTCCCGGAGTCGCTGTGCTGAGAAGCTCATTGACCATGGAAGACTGATGACAAGGATCTTCCCCTAGAGTCAACAGAGAAAGCCTTCCCCTGGAGCTGGTGCCCTGAATACAGACTTCTAGCCTCCTAGACTGCGGAAGAATAAATTTATCTTTGTTAAATACCCACTTGTGGTATTTCTGTTGTAGCAGTACTAGATAACCAAGACACTCTCTTCTCCCATCTCCAGGGTCTGTACCAAGTAAGGACCCTGCCTTACCCAAGGTAAGAAGAGGAAGAGGAGGAGTGGCAAGGAGGGGATCTAGATGTTAGGTCCCTCTGGGATGTGGACCCCAAGCCCTGCATGTCCCCCTGCCCCTCCATGTCTGCCTATCTAGTTGCTCAGTCTCTGTCTCTCTCATTATCTACAGCTGACGATGGACGGCTATACCACCTGCTTGGGGAGCCTCCCTGCAGCCTGGCAACACCAGGATTCTAAGATATCAGGTGTAATGGGGGTGGCATTATTCTGTAATAAAGCCGTATTAGCACACATGTCTTAGGGTGCAGTGAGGTTAAATCTCTTCTTTCTAGATTTCTTGGTTTCAAAAAGCTGGATAATTATCAAAGAGGAACTGTTCTCATCTTTGTGGGGAAGACAAGCATCTAGTCACTGAATTCAGCAATGGAGGTAGGGGTACACGGCCCTGACTCTCATCCGTGTCCACCACCTTATGCAGGGCCCTGCCACTTCCAACCAGTTTTCTGGGATTGTCCCCTGATTAGGCTGAGGACTTCTCTGGAAAATGAGTTGCCTGCCTTGTCCGCCAACTCACTCAGGCCCTACCTAGATGGGCCCATTCTGCCTCTGGTGTTGGCGGTATTAGTTGCCACTGAGTCAGTTAGAACTGCTCCACAGGGTTTTTCGAGGCTATGACCTTTCAGAAGCAGATCACCAGGCCTGTCTTTGAGGTACCTCAAGGTGGGTTCAAACTACCAACCTTTTAGCTAATAGTAGAGCGCTTAACCATTTGCACCACCCAGGGACTTCTATTCCACCTCTACCCAGGACAAAAAGGGCCTCTTAATACTCTTTTGCTTCTGAGCCATACGGCTTCTGCAAAGAACAAGGCAGAGCTGTCCCAGCCCGCTTGTCATCAGGAGAAAGTCAGAATCACGAGGAGAAAGTCCTACAGGGCTGAGGCCTGAGTCATCTGTCAGGATTCAGACCCCTCAGGTGTGGACAGGTGTCCCAGGTGCCCACCCAGCCACAGTGACCTGCACCTCCTCAGTCATCCTGAGTATTTGGCCTCCTCCCTGAACTCCAGGTCCTTCTGTCAACATGTGGGAAAGGCTGGGGGGATGGAGAGAGAAATGTCCTTTTCAAGGAGTATAGGAAGCCCAAGGCACCCGGGGCCCCATATGGTTCCTGCGCCTGCTGCTGTTGGTGGGGGTGGAGGGGGCAGCTCCCCTAGAGATGCTGGAGTGGGGGTGGGGCGCAGGAATCTCAGCATCCCTCAGGACAGGGTGTTTCTTGTTCTCAGCCCCCATCTGTCTCAACCACTCCCCAGGAACTCACGTTTCTAGTAATTCTTTTGAGGGCTTGAAGTGATCATATTATCTTATTATTCTCATGTGGCCACATTATTAGAAATTGTGAATTGGTGGTTTTGGGGATACACACTTATGAGTATATGAGGTACCATCAGGACTTGGTACCTGATCTGGGTTTGGTCCCATTGAAAATGAGGACAAAAAAAATTGTAGGGTTCTGGAGTTGTGGGGAGGGGTCCCCTAGCCCCTGGCATCTGACATTCTGGGGCTTCTGCCTTCCCTGAGGTCCCTGGGTGGGGGGTGCAAATAGTTTGTGCTTGGCTGCTAATGGAAAGGTTGGTGGTTAGAATTCACCCAGCAGTGTCTTACATCTATAAGATTAAAGCCATTGAAAACCTTATGGAGTGGAGTTCTACTCTGGCACACGTGGGGTCGCCATGAGTCAGGACCAGGTTTGGTGTTGCCTTCCCTGGGCTCAGTCCCTGAGTCTCTGAGCCTCATGCTGTACAGCCCAGTGCGCCCAGCCACACCAGCCCCTGGCCTCTAGCGGGCTGTGGTCCCTCCTCTGTCCTCTAATTCCTCATCCTCTCTTCCCCGGGCTCTCTCCCCCATTCTCCCCTCTCCTAGACACTCCTCTGCCCATCTCTCCCTGCCTCTCCCCTGTCTCCTCCTCTCTCCCCTTTCTCAGAACTCTCTTCTCACTTCCTGCGTCCCTCTCTCTCCCCTCTGCCCTGTGTCTCCCCACTCTGCCCTCCGCCCTCCTCCCTGTCTCTCTCTGTGTCTGTCTCCCCCTCCTGCTCTCTCTCCTGCCTCCCACTGTATCTTCCAGTCTGTCCTGGTCACCCTGTCTGCCCTCCGTCTGCTGCCCTCTCCAGCCCTCAGTCCCTCGGGTGTCTCCTAGCATTTACTTCTCAGATCCCCGCCCTTTCTCTCCATCTCTCCAGGATCAAGGTGTCTCTATCACGACTCCAGGTGTCTCCCACTCTCCCCTGTCCCCAGTACCCAAACGCTCTCTGGTCTCTCCTCATTTCTCCTGGTAATCCTCCCTTTTCCTGTCTAGTCTGTCCTTGTCCCTCCCTGTCTCACCCAGCATTTCCTCCTGTCTTCAGAAAAGCACACCTCTTCCTGTCTCTCTTCCTTTGTCACAATCCCTTTCCCCCAACCTCCTCCCAGATGCCTCCCCAGACTCTGCACTCAGGGTGTAGAGAGGGCCCCCAGCTCAGACCCTGTCTCCCTTCTGTCTACTCACCAGCTCAAAGCCTGGTCCAGAGGAACAATGACCAGCAGCTGCAGGCTGGGTAAGTAGGACCCCACTCCGCCTCCCCTAGGCTGCTCAGATCCTACTCCCCCTGTGAACTCAGCGATAACTCTCCCCACACCCACACCCCACAGCCAGCATCTGCCCAAGCGCCTGCAGCCTGCTCCTGTGCCTCCTCTCCCACCTCGCCTTGTGCCGTGCCATCTCTCTTTTCTCCCCAGTTCTCTTCATCTCTCCTTGCCTCTCCTTCCTCCCCCTCCATGTCCTGTCTCCTCTCCCTCCCTCTCTGCCTCATCCTCCTGTCTTCTTGTCTCTTCCAGTTTCTCCCTGACTTGAATCTTCTCTCCTGTCTCTTTTCTCTTCTGTCTTCTCTTCCTGCCTCTCCTTGTCTCTCCCAGTCCCTTCTCCTCCTGTCTCATACTCATCTCCAACATGCCTGCCCATCCAGAGCTTTCTAAAGAACCACAGCTAAAATCCTCTCTCTCTCACCCTCTGATTCACAAGCCCAACCAGGAGAATGGCGACCAGCAGCTACTTGTTGAGTAAGAAGGACCCCAAACCAGCCCATCTCCAGACTGCTCAGATTCTTCCCACCCTGTAGGTCCAACCATACCTCTCCCCTGCTCCCCACCCCCCAATCCAAGCCCCCTGCCCAGCCAGGCGTTTCTTCCTAGAGCATCTCTTCATCTCACTGCAGTCTCTTCTGCACTGAAAACTTAGCTACACAACCTAATGCTCAGCTCATTTCAGGACGTCACTACTTCTCTCCATTACCTGGGATGCAATCTTCTAGGCCCCATACCTCATACACCGCCCCCGCCCCCGGAGGTGCTGAACCCCACCCCAAAACAGCTCCAAGTCTCTCCTGAATCTTAGCTAGAACTAAATCCAACTTAAGAGCTTCTCTCTTGCCTTCCTGGAGGTTGTCCCTCCAGCCTCACCCTCACTGCCCTTCCTCCCCAACAGCTGCTGTTGGCATCCTCACCTTCTTGTGGACTGGTACAGGTGTGATCACAGGTGAGGGCAGCAGGAGTAAGGGGAGAGGAGGCACCTTTAGGGAGGAGAAGGGACTGTACGTGGGACAACATGGGTGATGACTGTCTTGTATTCCTCAAACCAAAACAAATTTGGTGTCTCCCAGCTGACCCCACTGGCTCAGGGCTGTGGACGTGCCGGCCAGCACCCAGGTGTGGAGACCAGATCTACAACCCCTCACAGCACTGCTGTTATTATGGGACCATCCTGACCATGAACCAGACCCGCCCCTGTGGTCCCAAATGCACCTTCTGGCCCTGCTTTGAGCTTTGCTGTTTCGAGTACCTTGGCTCCCAAAAGAAGTATGTTGTGAGGTTGAAGGTTCAAGGCATAAAATCCCACTGTTTCACTTCACCCATCTCCAGTAACTGTAAAAAGTAAAGGCCCTGCCTTATCCAAGGTGAGAACAGGAAATGGGGAACGTGGAAGGGAGGGGATCTGGATGCTGGGTCCCTCCAGGTTGGGAACCCCAAGCCCTGCAGGTCCCCATCCCTTTCCGTGTCTGCATCTCTCTTAGTTGCTCAGTCTTGGTCTCTCTCATTTTCTGTAGATAAAGACAGACGGCCATACCACCTGCTGATGTAGGCTCCCTGGAACCTAGCACACTGGGATTCTATGATATAAATAGTAATGGGTGTCATGGTTCTGTAACAAAGAAATAATAAAGCACATGTCCTAGAGGCTGATGAAGTAAATGTGGTCTTTCCTGGGCTTTGAACCAGTTCGTTCCAGTTTGACCCCTGCTGAGAATTTGCATTTTCATCCCAGATATACTGAATCAGAATCTACATTTT